ACACACACACAAACACACACACAGACAACCCCGTGACACTATGTGTTTTGTGCAGTTGTTGCACAGCACAAAACGCATAAAAACTGGTAAGGAACGAGGAAGTGTCAGAGCGAGGCGTACCAGGACAGTCGCCAAATCCGCTGTCTAAGCAAATAAGCGTTCTCAAAAACCACCAGTAACAACTGTCATGGTCTCTTGGTGCCGCACGGTACATGACCAGTAAAAAGTCGCCCGGATATGCGTTTATACATTGTTGCTATAATAGTGTTAAGCCTGATCTTAGAAGAGGCCTCCCTTCCACAGGCGGATCCAGGACGGCCTCCTTGGGAAAAGGGAGGGGAGGGGAGGGGAAAGCTGGGGGAGAAAGGGGGGAGGGGGTAGGGAGGAGGGAAGTGCGGACGAGAGTTTTCTTCAGTTTTAGTTTTAGACCCTGACTTTTGTAGCACTTGTACCTGTGCCCCTCCGCCCTCTGGATCCACTTATGCTCCCTTCCAAACCGAGCAGGAACTTGCGTAGCGTAAAATGCCCAAGCTTTGCAGGTCTTTTTTGCCCCCGAAACTACTTTGCTTTACTAGCCTGTATTCGGGTTGCTTTTGGTCTTATCCAGAAGAAGTCCCTCTCGTCCAGTACATGCTCAGGTTTTTCACACATTATTTACAGCACAACGGATGAGGCCAGTAGGGGAAAAAAGTGAAAATGCTTGCTCGTCCCTCCCTAGCGATGCCAAAGCTTGCTGCATGTAACATCCAATTTTGCTCCTCATCCCTCCTCCCCCTCCCATCCCACCCCCCTTCGTTCCACCCTAAACCGGGATTTCTTGGAAAAAACGGAAATTTTCAAGCCACACTTTTCACAAACTTTGAAATCGCGAACATTGATTTTTTTATCCGTTAACTAACACATTAATAATAACAAATAAGACAGTGTAAAGCGTTAGAAACCTACAAATTAACAAAACACGAAAATTTAACAAAATTTGAAAACAGATGATGGGGAAGTGATGAAGGAGGTGAGGAGGAAGAAGGTGAGCCGAGGGCATCCTGCTCTCATCCCTGCCCATCCAGATGCACACGTCCAGGATTTTGCATGCTATGCAGCTGCTGCTGCTCCAATATCCAGTGCTGTAATTTAAAAGAACAAACAAACAAAAAAGAAAAGAAAGAGGATCGGGATTTCCAGTTTCGCCGATAATCCAGGGATACTTCGCGGAAAACCTCATCCCAATCGAAAATCATTAAGAGTAACTGCTGGACAATCCCCTCCACTTTTTTAGGCGTTGAACACACACTGATGAGAAATAACTGATGTACCTATCCATGCATTCTGTTCTCTAAGGACAACGCAAAATTCTTCTATGTCAAAAAATGTGCTAAAAGTTAGGAATGATAAGTAACGGTCATTGGAAGGCCGAATCATCAGTGGACGGTCCAAGTGGAACAGTCGTGCGAAAAAAAAAACCCTGGAAGGGAGTGAAAAAATGAATAAACATTTGAATGGGCAATGCGTCCAAAGGATGAGGCATCCAGGACTGCCAAGATAGCCTGTGTTAGAGCGCAACAAAATTCGGTCGGCGGAGGACACTGGGCTGAGGCACATCGAGATAGCTCGCATGTCGTTTGTGCTTTGCTGTGTGTGACACATCTCTGTCGCCATCAATGAATCAGCTCCTTCGTCAGTCCCAAGAGATTTCTCGAAGATCGGCCTGTCACAACATCCCGAACAGTTTGCCGATGATCGAGCTGGGGCTCACAATCCGGAAAGATTCCCCCGTCGTCAATCAACTTCCTGCAAACTCCGCTTCCTTGAGCACTCTGGAGAGCAGCAGTGTGGGAACTTGTTTGTGTATCTGCAATTAGCTGCTGCTGCAGCTGTTCTCTTCGATCCTGGGAAGAATCCAGGATTCTCAGCCAAAGAAAGAGCAGCAGTTGTGAGGAATAGAGCGGTTCGAATCCCTTCATTTCCACCGTTTATCCCGGAACAGTTCGCGTTCCTGCAACAGCGCTTCTTCGCCTTATTCGAGCCGGCTCCGTCCATCACCTTTGTCCCGAGGAATGTGATCACTGCTCCAATACCAACAATAAAAACTCCGAAATTTTTCGTTTTACACAGTCCTGTCTGCCAGTTGTACTTCAGAAGAGCAGTGGCTCCCATCCAGAATCACATTAATAAATTCAGAGACCTTGCCACTCGCTTTGTTCCCGATATTTATGAAGAAAAAAAAAAGAAAAGGAATTTCAAAATTTCGCAGGTCGTTGTCTTTTATGCTTCAATAAATTTACAAATTATTGAAAAATAGGCAGCGGCGGTGGCGACGGGCAGGCCTCCGGAATTCCTCAGTGTGCCCGCATTCCGGCAAACTTCAAAGGCGCATTTTTGAGCAAAATTTGAGGAATGTTTTAGCTTTTAAAAAATGCACAATAGCTGCTCAGAATTAGAGACTGTTGTGTTTTGTGGATTCACAGCAAGCCAGCGAGCTAACAAAAGACCAAATTTGCGCCCATTTTGTGCCTGCCGATGTCCCAAAGTGTATTGAGTGCGCCTCTCTTGTGCAGTGCCCAGTTAAGCGTGCCAGTCTGACTTCGACAAGGAAAAAGTGCATGGCAACATTCTGAACAACATGGAGCAATAGCAAGTTTTCCAAAATCCTATACGTGGTAAACGTGAAATTAAAATTTTCAGTTCAAAACTGAGCCAGAAAAGTGAAATTTCTGATAAGATGTACGGGAGGACGGGGCAAACCACCAAATTAGTTAAACTGCAAATGTATCAGGTGTAAGCAGGGACACACGCTTAGGCATACACACACGCGCAAACAAGCATACATATACACACACATACACGCATATACTGACGTATAGCAACACCCAAACTCCTAGCCCCTCTTCACGTGCCCTTCTCCCTTCACACACACAAACGTGAGCGAACACAAACAATTGCAAAACAGGATGTTTAATTACGGGAACTCTAGCGGTGTACTCCGGAGGGCGAACTCAGATCCGGTTAGGCAACTGCAGCGCAGACAAATGAACATTGTTCGTTTTTATTAAAATTAGCCGAATTTATACTGCAAACACTAGAAACATCAAAAAACGAGGCTTCCCGAAGGGAGGAATGGAGATTAGCGAGCGAGTGAGCATAACGAGCGCCTGCGACCAGTGCTTATCTGAGTGAGTGCAAAAACCGGTGCAGGGAGTCACACGTTTTTGAGAAAAATTTTTGCGGGCGTATAGTACATGGAAATGCTGCCAGTACGTCGGAAGGAGTAGGCTGTACAGTGTCACGATAATTTTTTTGACCCATCGAACACTCGTAAGGCTTGAAGGTAGGGTCAGGGCATTGATGGTTGCGGTACAAAACTAAGAAACTTTCATTGGCCGACTTTTCTCGCGTCAAACCATGTCGCCCTCTGAATTGTTCATTCCTCTCGGTTTTTACCTGAATCAAGATTCTCCCTAAATAGTGCCTCGTGCGACAGATACGCGTCTTCTCATGCATAACGGAACAGCACAAAATGCATACATACCAGCGTACGGAAAGATACGTGAGAGCAACTGCAGAACAGTCGCCAGCTGCACTGATAACGCCAAAAGTGCGTACAATTGAAACAACAGCTGATCAAAGTAAGTATCCGTAAAACAAGTATTACAGAATGATTAACTTTGGCGATGAGAAAAATACAGGATTTGCACGAGCACTACAGTCGTTTGAATTCGGAGAGAGGGCAGCACGACTACGCCAAATCCTCTTGTCCCAGGGCTATTGGCCTAAAATTTGCCATTCGGCAGCTCCAAAACGTATTTGCGCCATTTTTTTTTTGACAGATAATCCGAGTAGTCGTTTGCATACCCGCTCCATACAAAGATGACTTTTCAGAATTCTCGGGAAAGACGTGCAAATTGATCTGCGCAACAGATTTTACATTCACAGTCACGACGATCGGTGGTAGTTCGCGCGCACCATTCACTTCACGGTATTGTTTTTCTTCCCTCTACGGTCATGCAAAGATATTTGAGGCGTTTCGCACTTCAGCGTTCTATTCGTCACATTTCACTGCAGCTAAAACATGGAGTTACACAAAAATACAAAACTGATAGCCCCCACAAGCGAAATATACCGCACCAATTAATAAAAGCGACATCGCTCTTGGCAGCTTATGGATTTGGCTTTTAAACTCCGCCAAAACACCTTCGAAAAAATATTTTTCGGCAGTAGTCCGCAAAGTGAGTCAGATTTAGCTCAACTAAAGCTTATGTGTGCAACATAAATGAAATACCAATGCATATAGCATGAACAAGTAGAAACGATAAATATCAGCTGAGCATCTGACAAGTAATAAAAATTTCAACCGAAAATGGAACTCAATTTCTTGAACTGAAAGAGTTTTAAAAGTTTGAAATGAAACAATTGTAGGACTTAAAGTGATAACTAAGTTATGATCCCTCCTTTTTTAAACCTTTATAAAAGAAGAATACGGCGCCTGACAGAATACTTTAAAAGCACAAATTCCAGAACTCTTGTTTTTTGTTGGTTTTTACCTATTTTTTAGGAATTTTATAGCAAAACGTAGAACTAAGAACAGAATGCTATGATACATTCACGGGGGCTCAAAACCAAAAAAAAAAAAAAAAACTGCTCAGAGCTAACAGAGTCTATTCACGATGCAATAAGCCGCAACGATGGAGTGTTGAGAATCTGTGACTGAGTTCTAGGCAAATCACACTGATAAATGCCATCGGTGTCGCGAAGCAAATTCCTCCGCCTCACTTTCATCTCGATCGGACTTCTGCAAAAATCGTTTTTACCCATGTTCCTCAGTAAAACCCTCATCAGGATTTGTTTGGGTGTTTTTTCACAACAGCTCCACAATGGGAATTTTCGTAGATCAAACTCATTTTTGTGCGTTTCTTCATTGATGCACAAAAACTAAGAAGCTGAATTTTTGAGAATCAGTTTCCGAACTTTTACCTGTTCACTGAGTACTGCTCGCTATCCGAGTGTACCAGTTCATCATCGGCATTCAGCGAGGTTTTCTCTGTTAATCGCTTGGCTTCAGCACCATCTGCAGTTTAGAAGCTGATTAGAAGCAGCGAATTCATCATCCTGCATTATTTTTTCACTTAAAACAATGCAAAAGGAGGGGCTGAAGCAAAGAATCAGTGCTTGGCAAGTAATTTTTTTTTTTTCATTGGGTCTGCTGCAAGTAAGAAGGCTGCTTTTACAAATCAAAATTTTGATCCAGTACAAAACATCTCGACGAACAAGAAATAATCTGAGGGAAAACCCCGCGAAGAGAAAGCGCTATGCTTTTTTCAAAAAAAGTAAAAAGGAAGGTACAAAGGGACGACGAAAATTCAACTACAGGTCCCATGCGGCAGAAATTTTAATCAGCAATGTTTATATGTTAGCAAGTCCAAGAAATGCCACCCCCTCACCCCGCTCTTTCCCCCTCTCTCCCCAGTCCCTTCCTACTTCTGACCTG